AGAAATAGTGATAATCAAGAAGATAAAAGGAGGCACAAATCATGGAAAATATGACGGCAAAGGTATATCTTAGACAAATTAATCTTCATATATTTATGTGAATTTTCCATGATAAATATCAAGTGTAGACAAACTCTCAGTGCATCAAAAATATGTACATATATGAAAAGCATGACTACTACTCCATAATATCATAGAGCAAATAAAAACACAAATGAATGAATATCCCATAGTTTTGGGAACCACTGTTAGAATTTCAAGAGCAAACATTACTTGGAAGATTATAAATAATCATCAGAATTATTTCATGAAATAAATTAAGAAGCAGCAGTATAATCTACTTGTTTTGTCCTCTCTAATTTTTACAGTGTTGTGCAGAATATCTTCCTGTGCTGAGAGAAGTCAAATGACTGTCTCTTCATGAGCTAATCTAGACGGCTTAAAAAAACCCTATATTTATTCCTTTATATAAACTGAAAAGTAATCCATTTATTCCTAACTATAAACTTAGATTCATATTTTAAAGCTAAGTCCTGCCACTGGATGTCCATGGTTGTTTTTCTATTAAGTCAGTGGGGGTTCTTATACCTCCAAGGAGGTGTCTGTGTTGGGTGAACAATGTTGGAAGCACTATGTAAACAGCCCACCATCATTACCACCATTTTAAGAACAGTATCTTTGAGACTGCAGGTATCACAAAAGCCATAGTGGAAGGTGTATAAAGACAGGGAAGAAGAATCTTAGGACTTTTAGAGCACAATACTGGGAATCCAGACTCCTGATTTTAGTCCAAGCTCTTCAGTGGATTCTGTGTGTGATCTTGGGCAAGCCACCTCTCTGTGCCTTAATTCCTCCAGTTGAAAACCGGGGATAATAACAGTACTGGCCTACCTCACAGGGGTTTTGCGAGGCTTAGTTCATTAACATCTATAAACTGCTTTGAGATCCTCAAGTGGGAGATGCTATAGAAGTACAAACTGTCACAATTAATTTCTTAGTCCTGATAGCGAGAGCAACAATGGTTTTCGCCTTTACAGCTCAGTTTCTGCTGCTTGTTGCTGAAAGGAATTCAAATATTTGTATGTATGACATTGCCATGAAAATGATTGTGATGTCACAGGAATAGGTTTTTTTGGTTTTGGGGTTTTTTTGCTGTATGATGATAGAAGAAGAGAAAATGGGAGATGAGGGCCCTTTTTCAAAATCCATTGCAATATGTTTGAACACTCCAGGCCAAATTCGTTCCTGGGTGACTCCACTGAGCTAGTTGAGTTACTCCAAGGATGGCTTTGACCCTCATGGTTTGGGTTTGTTCCTGAACCAGCGAAAGTCAAGCTATAAGGGGTTACTCTGGATGTACACGAGGGAAAAGGTTGAGTTTAGGTCAGGTTTAGCTGGCACACAATAGCTAAGGCTAATTTAAACTTGAGCCCTGCTCCTGGTCAAGACAAACCCTCACTATGCAAACCTGTTTTCTGAATGGCTGGTTTAGTTTTGTGCTGATGTCATACTTGGGTTTAAATCCTCACAGGAGTGCAGGTAAGACATCACTATCATCTCAGTTAATTACTTTGGAGTTTTAATGTCCCATAAGAAAATGAATCTGGAGTGCTGACACAGCTATAAGAATTATAAAGAAATGTTGACCAGATAAATGGCTAAGCAGTTGGGCCCGGGTCCAGCAATACATTTAAGCACCTGTGTAATTTTAAGCCAGTCAATGAGACTAGTCACATGCTTTAAGTTACACATGCATTAGGGGCTTTGCTGTATTGAGAACTAAAGGAGTTGTGCCTTAGCTGAAATTATCCGAACTGGAGGAGTTTGATGTGCAGGGAGATACTCTGGAACTGCTTAATCTCTGGTGTAACTCCACTGAAGTTAATGGAGTTACACTAGGGGTGACTTTGGCCTCTTTTTATTTCACTTGCTCTTCTTCCCAAAGCGTAAAAGTATGTGAGCTGTAAGTGTGAACAGAGATGGGAAGAGCTGTTAATTGCGCATCCACTGAGTAAGTCTGGTGATGTTGAGCCCACAGCTTCAGTAGATTTACCTTACTACTTCAGTTTTGCATTGCCCATCTTTCGAATTTCAGTTAAACTTTAAAGCAGCCTGGCCTCCTTGAGATGAGCTGGTTGCTAAACTTCAGAGGAAAGATCCACATCCCCCTTCAGACCTGACCACCAAGCTTTCCCTCTACCATGAAAAAGGAAAGCAGCTCCTTTTGCCTTGTTTTCTTCGAACACTTGGTTAATGGCATCTGATTCCGCTCTGTTTGATGTAATGATAGGGAAGGCACCATGTTCATTTGGGGTGAAAGTCATTCCTATGCAGAGGGCCAACACAAGGTCTGTGCATCATTTAAATGCCACTTAAACCCTATGATAAGTGGTTAATGGGACTTGAGGGGTGTACAGGCTTTGTGCTGGCCCTCTACATAGGTGTCAGTTTCACAGTTAGTGATCATATGTGAAATTTACTAAAGTATAGAGTTTAGAGATTAAAAACAACTGTTAGCTCACCTTCTTCCTTGACTAATGTAGAAATAGAAAATATCACCTGCTTTCTTGGAATGTTTATGTGAAACAAGTGATAGGTGGATACTGGAAGAACCTCCCTGTTAGTGCCTTTTAGGTGTAATTCAGAGGTGCGTGAGGTTTTCACCATATGACTCCAATTGGATTCAATGGGGTTAAACCAGAGATTAATAAGTTCTTACGTCCCAGTCTACCTAAGGTACTTAAATGCCCCCCGCCCCCTGCTACCATAGTATCTTGGTTGCCTCAGAGTCTTTATTGTATTTATCCCATAATGCCCCTCTGAGGTAGGGAAGTGCTGTTATGCCCATTTTACAGAAAAGGAACTGAGGCAGAGACACTAAGTAGCTTGCCCAAGGTTACACTGAAAGTCTGCAGTAGAGCAGCCAATTGAACCCAGGACTATCAATTCCTAGCCGAGTGCCCTGGACCATCAACCAAGATGGTAGGCACCTGAGTACAGATGGTTGGCATTTGTGTGGTTTAAACCTTTTTTCAATGCTTTAAAGCTGAGGGGAGGGGCTAATGAATATAATATTTCTCTATTTGTGTGTGGTTAGAATTAGCATTCCAACAACGCAGAACTGTTCTGCTGTGCACTCCTACAGTTAGAGAAGCTCAAATGAAAGCTCATCCAAGGGATGCACAGTGACCTAAAAATCTAAAGAGTCATGCTCAGAGAATGTTCTAGGCCACTCACATGGGAATTAATGCTCTTCTGATGCCACATGCATAAGCAGAAGGAATGGACTCCCTCATCATAAGACAGGAGATATAGAGCTGCTAATGCCTGCTCCCCTTCCATCTATCCCTATGTAGAAGATACGACTGGAAATTCAGAATGAGACTTGAGTCCACAGTAGCTTCTGTGGAATGGACAGTATTGGCCAGAGTTGAACTTCTGGGTGAAAGGATACAGAGGGGGAGTCACTTATTAGTAGAGTAACAAGGGATGAGGATCTGTAGATGGAAGGCAAATTGACAGATCATGACTGGACGCTATGGAGGATGTGCAACTTGTTGAGACCCAACTGTGTGTGTGATTAGAGGGAGTGATTAAAGGATAACAGGTTTCAGGTCAGCTCTGCTGTCAGACCCATAACTGGTGCTGTGGGGGTGACACTGGTATTGGAAAAGGGGCCACCGCAGAGCTTGAAGTGGAGTGGGAGGTGTCCAGCAGCCAAGAGGGCAGCATTGAAGCTGCTTCAGAGCTGACACTTTGTGTCCCATAATGCAGCCTGTTTTCACACCAGTGCCGTTCTGTAGTTTGGTGCAGAGGGAATGCAAAGTACAGCCACAGCCTGTCTTCTCCCTGTTCCCTTTGGAGCACTGTGAGACCCCAGGCAGTTTGGGTGCTCTCCTGAATGGGCACACAATGAGAAGGCACTTTGCAACGTCCTCACTCTGACCCCATCGCTAATATATGAATAGAGTTGGGGAGGAGAGTTACCAATCCTATCGATTTAACACTAGTTGTTTTAATAGCTGCAGTCAACATTGTATATCATTATATAAAAGGGTTTGGAACATAGACTGTCACAAACAGTTTATTCTTCTGTCAGTAATTGCAATAAGTGGGCTTCATCTTAGTAATGTCCATGAAATGTATGCCAGTCTCAAAACCTTTAAAAAATGTCCTGTTGATTTTTAGCATCGGGATCCAACTGGCATCAAGGTACCAGGGTGATACTAGAAAATGTCAAGCTGGAACTAGTTAGGAGCATTTTAAAGATGTACTGAGGCAATGTAATGAGTTTCATGCATAAAGAACAGTGTAGTTTGCAGAAGCAAAAAGGAAAGGGATTGCTGAGGGCCTGAATATGATATCACACCGATGCATGTCCGAAGTATCTCCACTGAGGGCAATGGAGTTACACCATTGAAAACCGGTGTGAGAGGAGGAGACGGCCCTGAGTATCTACCCCAGTCTTCCAAACACCAGAAAGCTCAGCGGCCTCCATCCAAGATTGAGCATATGCGCACACACATGCATACACCAGTTTTTGGACAAGTCTGTATTTGCATCCAAATAGTTTCCCCATCTGTTCTTGTCCATTATTACAGAGCCACTCTCTGGAGTCAGGTATTCTGGCTGCTGTACCAGCTGTGAGTGTTGTAATGAGGTTGGTTAGAATGTAACTCACTGAAGCAGCAAGAACTAATCACTGTATATTGATGAGAGATTTGCAGCGCCTTAGTCTGAGAGCACTGCAGTAATCTTCTGTCTGTGTGTGTGGCAGGGGGCGGGGGGGAATTGTGTATGTACACGTGTGGTAGTAAAATTACTCATTTACTGCAGCAGGTCTCATTATCTCAGGGAAGCACATGGATGATTCACTGCTTAACAGGGTGTTTGGAAATGCTTGTTTATATGCAGTAGGCAGCCTGAAACAATATCTGATGCAGTCCGTGAGCACCTGCCCTGGGAAAGGAATCTTAACTGCCTCTCTTTGGCTCCCTTAGGTATTGGAACTCCTTGAGTAACCTAGTGGCTTCACTGCTGAACTCAGTCCGCTCCATCGCTTCCCTTTTGCTGCTTCTCTTCCTCTTCATCATCATCTTCTCGCTCCTGGGAATGCAGCTCTTTGGGGGCAAGTTTAACTTTGATGAGATGCAAACCAGGAGGAGCACGTTCGATAACTTCCCCCAGTCCCTCCTCACTGTGTTTCAGGTACGGGTCACAACAGTTCCAGCAAGGAATTGACAGTCTGCTCGTGTGTGTCCCCTGTTGGGGTAAGATGGTCCTGGATCATTCCTGTGCAGACTGGTATTCAGTGAGACTGGAAATTAAATTAGTCTGCTGCAGAAGGTGATCAATGACAGCAAGTTCTGCAGCTGCTGAGACGGTGGCCAAGGTTAGGAGCTGAGCTGAATTCCAGTCTATAGCAGAGGACAAGCTTCATGTGCCTAACTTGGTGGGGCCAGAGGATAGGCACTGCCCTGTCAAAGGCTAGCAAATTGCTGGGGAGCCCTGCATTAGTTCTCTGCCCTAGTGAAGTACTGCTGGGTCTGACAGGAAGAGATTCAAGAAAACCAGAATGGGAATCTAGTATCTGTATTCTGAGTACAGCTTTGCAAGTGTTCATATAAGAGCAGATGTATAGCTAGCTTGTGTCCATGGTGAGGGGAAGTGAAAATCACCTGCTATACAGAGGTATACATAGTGGTGACTTACTCCGCTGTGCTGCATTCCTGTGCTGAGCTTTCTGTTCCCGCACTCAGTTCAGCAGTCTGACTGATGCAGACAGCCACACCATGGCATCAGATGGAAATGGCCACGAAACCTGAACAGAGCTGGCTTGGATATCTGCCTGGCTTTAGCGGTCAGCCCTCATGGAGACATCTGGACATTCAGAGCACAGGCCCTCTCAGCTCCTTTTTGTTGGATACATCCACCAGTCCGAGTACCCCAGGGAGTTTCTCTAGGAGAGGGTGGGGTTTCTTTGTTATCATGGGGTTTTCGGGTTTGCTGTGTGGTCTAACACTGTGTCCCTTATTGGCGGGAATGTGTCATTTAGATCCTGACTGGGGAGGACTGGAATTCGGTGATGTATGATGGGATCATGGCTTATGGCGGCCCCTCTTTTCCAGGAATGTTGGTCTGTATTTACTTCATCATCCTCTTCATCTGCGGAAACTGTATCCTTTGATGCGACCTTTTCTCCATGCAGGGCTGCATTTAAAACCATGTTTTACTACCTTATTGTGTCAGGGGAATATGAATTTCATGAGTGTCACATTTATGGTTTACCTGGGTCTGCATTTTGGCTTCTGACAGCTAAAAATCAATGCCATCTAATGAATTTTAACTGATACTAAGGCTTTAAAATATAACAGTTGTCAGAGGAGGATAAGGCCGAGCCACTATGCCAAATATCATTTTGGTTTAATTCCATCATCCTTTTGTTCACCAGACCTTAGTCCCTACCTTGTCCAGAAACTAATCTATGTACCTACTTACTGAAATTGCAGTGTATTTTTTGCTTTAATTTATTCCATTATTATTTTTATACACGCCATGTGGAACAAATATATGTATAGTTTACAGTATATGGTATACAAATGCTATAAAAGTAGCATGTTTTACAGATTACATTTTATGTGAGATCCTGCATTAACTCATTTATACATCAATATGATAGAGAGATCCTTTCATTTATTACAGTCTACTTGTATAACAGATATAAAAAATGTATACCCTGTTATCTATGGGTCTGAGCTGGTGCTGAGCACCCTCAGTACCCATTGACTTCAGGGGGGATTAAAGGCACTGTGTACACTCCAGGAGTTATTCAGCACATTGCACAGAGGGCCCTGTGTATATGAAACACAGCTGTTCTTTCCACTTGAGTTTGCATGAAGTACATGACTGTAGATCTGTCCCAAATCCCTGTCTGCTACTAGTTCCTTCTGGTTTAGTTTGTGTTCCCCTAATGGATGATCCCCTCCCCAGAGATGATACATTTTTCCTGCTGATTCTTCTACGTGATCACCTTGTAGACTCAGCTCAACTCCTTTGACCTTTCTTCATAATTTAGATCTCTCAGACCCTGGTGTCTGACATCTCTGTTGCCCTGTGCTGCCCTCTCTTCAAAGTGAGATAGTGCAATCCCATTTATCTGAAGGTCGAGGGAGGCAGTCTGTCATTTTAGAAAAGGTTGCAATTCAGGTCCCACTGTAAACAGTGAAAAGGAAAACATCAGCCAGCTTTGCAAGCCAGCTGGCTTTGGAAGGCTGCATTTTGGGCCCTTGACCCCACAGCACAGTGAGAGTCCAGGAGGAGGGTTCTGTATATTTACAATACAAGCCTTTAACTGGAATTTACTTAAATAGGATTATGCTATAATAAGAACCCACACCAAGGAATTCATAAGAGAAGCTCAAATTCAACTTTGTGGTATAGGGGGTCTCTGAACAGTGATTGACCTAGACACAAGGGAAAGGACGGAGCTACAACTCCAGCTCCAAATTTCCTAGCTTGTCCATCCAGGCCCCTCAAGTTATTTGAGCGTGATTGCTTTGTACTGAATACCTTACATGCACGGGCTTACGTTGGGACTTGACAGAGCTGCCAAATGATTCCCTCCGCACTCAGCTATAATGAATTTCACTTTGATCCCCTTAGAGATACACTGCTAATGACAATGCTATCTGTAATGTCAATTATGGCCAATCAAGTCTGTGGGGAGACCTTTAATGAGGTTGTTCACTTCAAGTACATAGGCCAAAATTTTCACAGGCAGGTGCCTAATGTTACGAGGATCTTGAATACGTATTTAGGCTCTTAAAGAAAAGTGGCCTGCTTTTTCAAAGGTTGAACCTGTGTGCAGTTTCCATTATCTTCAGTGGGACTTGGGGTTGCTCAGCTCTTTTGAAAAACAGGCCACTTTGAATTAGATGCCTACATATGGATTTAGATGCCTAACTTCAGGAAGGCCGGTTTGAATGTTTTGAAAACACAGTGTATTGTGTTAGCCTTGGGAGGGCAGGGAGAGGGGTATGTATATGTGTGTGTGTGTGGCCTAACCATTTGTGTGAGATCTGATTGCAGCTTGCTCATTGGAGCAAACTGGCATTTCAGGTGATCAGGGTTCTCGCTGTCCTGGTCTACAGTTTTCCAAGCCCATTTTCTTTACGGAAATACACAAACAGATATCCTGCTAAATGTATTTTTGGCCATCGCTGTGGACAATCTTGCCGATGCAGAGAGTTTGACATCTGCTCAGAAAGAAGAGGAAGAGGAAAAAGAAAGGAAAAAACTAGCTAGGTAAACCCATCTATAGCTATCATTTTCAAAACTTAAGTGGTTGAAATGAGGGAGCAAAAGGAAGGCTTTAGCGTTACTGTGCTGCATTGCTGTGTGGGGAAATCCAGCTATTAGGGGGACCCTGAGCTCACTGTTCCTTGAACTACCTGGGCTGGGAGCATTGTGTAGCTGATGCTCAGTGAAGGAGGCTGCCCCGTTAATACCCTGAGGCGTATAGTTTAAAGCAGGTCACTAGCTCCTGTGGCTGGGACAGTGTAACCAGAGAGGAGGCATGCAGGGCGATGGGGCTTGTGCAGTAAACATGGTGTTGGAGGAGGAGAAGAAGTAGGAAGTGATAACAACACAGTGACCCCATTTGAGCTACCCTAATATTTTCTGATCCCCACCCCACCCTCAATGGTTGATATTTATTAGGGACAGTCTCAGCCATTACTTCCCAAGACCAAACATTCAGCCACTTTTTCACCTGTGATGCCACATCCCCCATTCCTCCTCCCAGTTCCTGTGGTGCTTCTAAGGACTCCTGGTAAGGGTGAAGCTTCACTCAGACTTTCTCCTTTCCTCCTGGCTGTTGGCAGCAGGGAAGCTTGACGTTCTGTCACCACCTGTTACTTCTCCCTGTCCCCCTATCTTCTTCCTGGTTGCCTGGAGAGGGGAGCTGCTCTGATAAGCTGATCATTCTGCAGGACACCTTTGCAGCTGGCAGAGTATTCCTATGATCAGGGCTCTATTTGCCCTGCCTAAGAGCAGGCATAGCAAGCAGAGCACGTATAACCGGCAAAGACCATCAAACTGCTGGGAGCCATATTAAAGAAAATCTGCAGGCAGCATAACTCAGGATCATAGCCTAGGGGTTGAAAACTATTCATACAGTATATGTGATTGGTGGGAGTTGGGGGAGTGAAGAGAAGGCCTGTGGTCAAATCCCTAGGCCTGTGGTCAAATGTACATACACACACACACATATACATCACTAAGAAGCTCTGCAGATACTGTCATTGATGTTGCCTTTCCAGCCAATAGAAAGGAGGAGCCTGCTGGCATATATGCCGGATACAGAATGGAGATGCCAGCTGATTATTGTCATGTTTTGTACTGCACTACACTAGATTTCTGAAAAAGAAACCCCTTTTCCCCTTTGTAAATGTTTGCTTTTTATCCTGTTGAATTGTTAGGACCGCTAGTCCTGAAAAGAAACAGGAGATTGAGAAACCAGCTATGGAGGAGGAGACAAAGGAGGAGAAAATTGAGCTGAAATCGATCACTGCTGATGGAGAGTCCCCACCTACTACCAAGGTCTCTTACCACCCAATGTGCTATGAGCAGTTCAGATTTCTGAGGGAACAAAAAGTCAGGGCACTGTCTGACCAGGGCTTTGTCTCTGTCTCCTCTGTTTTTGTCAGATCAATGTGGATGATTATCAGCCCAATGAAAATGAAGAGAAGAACCCATATCCTACTACAGAAGCTCCAGGTACATCCCATCCCCTTTTCCTTACCACTGATCCATGAAGGAGAGGCTCTAGTTCCTAAAGTAATAACAGTTTGATGATATTGATTCAAATTATTTTTATTAATATAATTATCCAAGTTCTGAGATACCTCAAATTTGTGTCAATGGCTGATGTGGTCTCAGCAGCCCCCAGGATTGGGGGGGCAAAAAAAGTGAAGTAAAAACACTTCTCCCCTCACACTCTTTGGTATGCCAGCAAAGCTAGCCCTAAATATGAGTGAAGAATACAGATTTTCCTGACATGATCAGTTTTCCAAAAACTCATGCTGCCAATTGTTGCTGGTGGTGTTATCAGGGAAATGCTAACAGATCAGGTGCATGGTTATTTGCTGTTGTATTGTACACTTTATTGAAGTGAAGTGAATTGTATGGTAGTTCCCAGAATTGTTCTTCTCACTCTTTTTGAAGATTACATTTGCTCTTCTTCAGTCCTTGGTACCACTCCTGATTGTAGTGATTTGTGAAAATGGTAGCTATTAGCCCTGCAATTTCCTGGCTGCTTCTCTTAGGTCCCTCAAATCAAAAAGCGAATCAGAAAGGTCAGGTGATTTGAAATTTTTCATATGTTCAGGTATATTTTTAGGAATCAGTTATATATTATTAGACCAAATTTACTATCATAATCTATTAGAGAGACAAAGTTGGTGAGGTGATATCTTTTATTGTACCAATTTCTGTTTATGAAAGAGACAAGCTAGCTTGTCTCTTTCACCAACAGAAGTTGGTCCAATAAGATGTTACCTCACCCACTTTGTTTCTCTATTATCCTGGGACCAACACAGCTACAACAACACTGCATATAATAATCTAATTCTAATTCTAATTCTAACATTCTAATCTATATGGTTTTCTCATTCTGTTGTGTGAAACTCTGACCCCACAGAACCCATTTGTGCTGCCACTCCTTGCAGCAACTGCCTAGGACAATTGGTTCTCAGAAACTCTGGTCCAGGGCTTCCCCTGCCTATTAGGAAATAATTATTCCAATCACTTGTATTTCTCTCTCCCATTTATCAGCTTCCTTGTGACCACTGGACATTATGGGCTCCTCGTCCTCTTAACTAACCAAGCCTGTTGTGCTACATGAGGGGCCATGTGTCCATATCCTATCCATCTGAGACAACACCTGATCTCAGACCTCTTTTTGCCCACTGCCTGCATGTGGATGTACTTTAGCTGTGCCTAGACTGCATTACTCCAATTTTCCTAGATGTTATCTTTTCTCATCTGCAATCAGCTGTTTCTACCAACTATCAATCCGTGGCTTAATCTCTTAATTCCAGTGATCCTCTCACAGATTCCATCATCCCAGCCTCTAAAATCACTCATGTTCACCCAGTGCCTGAAAATTATTTGAAATGGTCATTCCATGTGTTTCCCTGCTAGCTGTACCTTTATTCTTAAAACCTCCTCACTCAATCGTCCATCAGCTTCCCCTGCCTCACTCCCACTAACTTCCTTTTACAGTATCTACTACACAATCCAGCATCAAACGTCATCACCACTGGTCCTCAGAGCACTTATTATGCAACTCACCACTCTGCCCCCTTCCTCTGCTGAGTCTCCAAAACAGATCAGCACAATCAATGAGTTTACATATAGTAGAAAGATTATGATGATGATGAGTGATTCTTCAAGGTAAAACGGTGCAAATCTTCCAATGTAGTTCAGCTACAGAAAAAATTCAAATCCTAACTCTCAGACATCCTGTGAGATCTTGGTCAAGTTGCTTAACCTCTTCCTCAATTTCCCCATCTTTCAAACAAGGTCATCTACTTATCTACCTCATAGGAAATTTGTGAGAGTAAGTTCATTAATATTTGTCAATAACTTTGAAATCCTCAGATGAAAAGCACAAAAACGTGCCAAGTGTTACAATTACAGTATTATTACAGTCATTAACCTCACCACTTACTTTCCTTTCCTATACAGAAAAGCACACATGAAAGAATGTTTCTTAAACCCATAAAGCTTGTGAAAAGTATAAACTTCCAGTGTATTACAAGATACAATACAATAGAAACATGAGCTGTTACAGAAATAAACTTGTTTAAAAAGGTACATGCTCTGTGTACCGAACGCAAACATTTATCCAAAACCCTCTGAGATGAATTCCTGCTAACGGCTGCTTTTCTCCCATCCCCAGTAGCTATGCACCAAGATTAGGGTATGAGCTGATTCATCTGCATTTTCTAATGTGTTGAAAGCCCAGCCAAGCACAGTGACTGGCCCTAAGGGAAGGAGAAAGAAAGCAGGATGTGGTGCTAGAACCTACCCAGAATTTATCTCATTTTGTGTGGGCCAAAGAAACTATTTTATTAAAGTAGAAGTGCCTCATAGGTGTTGTCCGGAAGATGAATGTTATTGTGTGTAGCCAGTAATCCCTCCCATCTTTCAGCATTTCTACCCATCTTACTAACTAAATGAAAGGAAATGCTATTGCACCATGCACAAAGCAACGTCTGACTTCAGCAGGGACTTGAAATCCTCAAAGGGTAAAAGTTCTCTTTCAAACCTTCCCCATAAGGCCCCAAGGCCTCATCTCTGCATTTCTTCCTTGTGGGTTAGTCACTGATCTGTGCACTGCCTGCAGCTCTGCTTCGTAGGAACTTGGTTCAAGAGTTTTACCTTTGTCTCCAGCCTTTCGATTCTTCTCTCTCTTGAATTCTAAAAAATAACAATTCTGAGAACTTCTGACTGGTGTTCGACAAAGTGCCCATCCCTAGTGTTTTCTCCGTGGCACACTCACTCATCTTGACACAACCTCAGGCAAGGTGTTGGCTCTGTGCAGGGCTCATATAATGCAAGAGAAGAAGTTTCTAGCTGTAGTTCAACCCAGAGAAGTAACTGAAACTTCTGGGTACATAAAGTGCTCTGCACTCAAGTGAACCAGTTACTGCTACTCCATAGCATTAAAAAACCCAACTGTTCCTTCCAGCAGAGGAAGAGGAGGAGGAGCCTGAAATGCCTGTCGGCCCTCGGCCACGCCCAATGTCTGAACTGCACCTCAAAGAGAAGGCTGTGCCCATGCCGGATGCCAGTGCTTTTTTCATCTTCAGCCCTACCAACAGGTACTTGATAAGTTGCTGTGCTGCAGCGTTCCAACCATGAAAGGCAGGTCAGGTCTCCCGTTTGTATTGGACTCCCAAGAACACGCTGTGCAGAGCTTCCTGGCTTCAGTGACCCAGTCAGTCCTGCAGAACCCCCTGCTTGGAATCCCAGCTGGAAAACTCTGCTCTAGGGAGCTCTATGCCAGTATCACTGCCTAAGGGGAGTTCAGGGCACCTAGAAAGTTTGTAGAAGAGGCAGGTCATGAATACTTTGTGTAAAGGGGTGTCACCCTGCTCTTACGAGTCCCCCTCCCTGCCACCCCCAGTTGAGTGTGTGCAGTTTTTCTCCATTTCCTCCACTCACAGTACCCCCTGTCAGCTGCTGTGCTCATCAGGTGGGTTTTCCAACCAGGCCTATCTCAAAGCACTCAGTAATGTACTGCAGCTCTTCCCAGCTCAGTCCTTTGACAGTCCAACAGGGCCCATCACAGTACCCTCAGTTAGTTGTATCTCTGCAGCCCTCCACAGGCTCAGTCCTCAGTCTGACCAACAGAGTCTATCTCAGTACCCTAGTTGGCCAGCTTACGTGTGAAGGTTCCTACTCTGGGATGGAGCAGTGCCCCCTGGAGACTCTTCGCCTGTCGTTTAGTCCTCTGACCCCGGCTCTCCAGCTGGGTCAGTCTAAGTTCAGCCCACTTCCTGCCCCACAGGGAACAGGATACTGAAAAGTGGACGGAGGAGGGGTGCTCATGGCTCCACAGAGCAGGGCTGGCCTGTTGGGGAGCATTCAGCACCAGCACAATCTCACTGGTGTCCATTCTGGGGAGGTGTGGGTACTCACTGCCCCCTACATAGGGCTGTGGTGCTCTGAGCCACATTCTAGCCCACAGGAGATCAGTACCAGTCTGACCAGCACAGGGGCTCTGGGGTGACCTCCACCAAAGTTGAAAAGAAACCTGGGCATTAGAAATAAAATACATAAAATAGGGGGTCCGGAAAGGTTGAGGAATTGGTACAGCATCTACAGCCTTACATCTGTTTGTCACCAGTTCAGATCATTTGTGATCAACAGCCACTGAAGGGCATTACCATTTGAAAGCTGCTTGGTGGCCAGTCATGTGTAGAATAAGTTGATGATCAAATTAGGCTCCTAATACCACAAACCTATTTTATATAGATGGCTGTAAAGCCATCAAATGCCAATGATTGTCAGTCATTAGGGACCGGCTCCCATTGAAGTCAATGACAAAATTCTCACTGATTTCAGTAAGAGTAAGATTTGGCCTCCTGTGTTGAGTTGGTGAATTAGGAAAAGCTACTTGTATCATTAACAGTTCCCTCAAGTCCTCTCTTCTCTGCCCTATTCCCCTTTGGTTGGAAATTTCAGTAATTGCATCCATCAGTATTCTTCCATTTATGTTAAAAAATATCATCCTCACACCCTGGGACAGTGCTAGGACTTTGGAGTCTAATTAACAGATGGGTTTCCTGATATACCATATTGATGCACAAATAACATCGGTGCAAAAACCAGGTCCATCTGGCACCAAGGAGTATATGTGGTGCTTTCTTTGGGTGTGGGTGCTTAGTTATGTCAGACACACATAACTAAAGACATGGGGCATGATTGTGCCAAGCCCTGCATGGGAGTGCAAAGGGGAAAGGGCACAAGAAACCTCATCTCTTTTGTGCCCCAGTGCAGGGGGTCCTTGTGCTCTCCTGAATATAGTACCATATGAGGCTAGTGCCATTGGTGGCATTAGCTTCTCCAAAGGGAGTGGGAGACCGTTGCTGTCACAGAAGGGAAAGCATGCTGAGTCCTTCAGCATGCTTGCCTGATGCACAAGGCCTCCCAGAACTTCCACCGAGGCATTGTGTAGGAGCACAGTCCCAACATGAGGCTGTGTCATAAAGGTGTGTGTGTGTATATAGCAGGCAGTGGGGTAACAGCAGTCAGGACTCTTGGATTCTAATTCTAGCTCTGCTGCTGACTCACTGTGATTTCTTGGGCAAGTAATGTAACCTCTGCACCTCTCTGGAAAGTTGATCTACTAGGCGTTGGGGGTGTTATAAACAAAAAAGGGACCGAAATAAGATAATGATGCTTTAGTCCTCATTCTTTGTAAAGGGCTCTGAGATCTCTGCATAGAGGGAGCTACGGAGGTGCATAGTAAACTGGGGGAGGGCACTTTTCCATTTGACTGGAGTCTGTTTTATTTCTTGCCTGCTAGGTTCCTGCTAAGGGTAAGAATTGCTTTGTATTAGGCTGAGCTTCAGCAACGAGACACTGCCTGGCATGATATTATGCCCCTAGAAGCCCCAACTTGTGCCTGATTTCCTGTTATTGTCTGAGGCAAGGGTAGTGACTGGAGTTCCTCTAGCACCTCTCCAGAGAAATTCCAGTTCCATCTCGGGATCCGTGGTAAATGAAAAACAAGTATGGAAAAGAAGCTAAAAGAACCTCTGACGTAGCTAACCTCTTAACTGCGTTTCTATCTTGTTTAGTTCCCTTTAATTGAGGCAAGTGGTGTAATTTCAGGGTGAACCAACAGAAGGTCATTTATTTTAGAACACAACTAAATCTGAATAGGGACCCAAACATATGTAAACAGAATGGCTGCCATCCTCTCTTTCCTTCATTGAAGCACCAAGGGCTCAGTCCTGCAAGGTGTTACGCATGTCCTATGTCTCCCTGCATGGCTCAATGGGAGCTGAGGACACTCAGCACCTTGCAGGATCAGGTACAATAGCCTGGCCTAGCTTTTTCCCCCACTCCTGGGCCAGAGGGGCTTATGCAGAATACTCTTACAGGTACAGACCCAGCAGCAAAGGAGGAGGAGTCCCACCCCTTAGCTCTCTCTGCAGCTGGTTCTGATGGATAAGGTTGTGTCTTTCCTCTCTCTTGCAGGTTTCGTCTCCACTGCCATCGAATCGTTAATGATAACATTTTCACCAACCTGATCCTCTTTTTCATCTTGCTCAGCAGCATCTCCCTGGCAGCTGAGGACCCTGTCCGACACTACTCCTTTAGGAACCAAGTATGCCTCCCATCCTTCCTCCTTCCCTCACAACATGTTAAGAGTATGATTCAACCAGATCATGAACCCATGCCAGAATAAACTAATGGCAGTGCAGAGAGGGCTGTATAGAAGACTTCTGGGGCTGGCTTGAGTAGGCCAAGGGAAATCAATGGGCTTGCAGAGAAGGCAAGCCAGGGCAGAATTTGGCCTCAGATCAATATCACAAGCGTCTGCTGGGGAAAGGGGTCAAGAGCGAAGGGAGACAAAATGTTTTCTATTGGGATTTTGGGTAGGGCAGGTTACAATAAGACTAGGATATAGAAGCATATGTTGGATTTCAAATAATCCTTCATTTTTCAAGCCCTTTTGGAACTTCAGCTCTCCTGCCATGTACCTGCCTTTCACTTGAGAAACTCTGGGCCTAATTCTGACCTTCCTTATACTGGCATAAATCAAAAGTAATGATCTTCAGGTCAGTGCAGTCACACTGTTTTGAGGACTACTGAGATTAGAATCGGGCCATCGGCATTTGAGTGCAGGCTGTAAAGCTAAAATCAAACTGGAGATAACCCCCATAAGTGTGTTAAATGCCTCTACTGACCGGGCTGTGGGGGTCACTCAGCCCAGAAATGCATTCTAATCTAACATTCTAAAAGCTCTTATTAGCCCTCATAGACGTTCACTGCTTTCCTGAGTTTGCCTCGATTATTCTGGGTTGGCACAGAACCCAGAAAAGTCAGCAGTTGTGTGTGAGACAACTTCTTGGAGCCTTTGTATGTGAGACAGCATTTTGGAGCCTTTCTAGTCTAGTTCTGGAAGAGCTTGGAAGACTTTGACAGTAGCTAAATGTTTTGTAAAGCTTGTTAAAGCTTAATTTAATGCTGAATGTTCAACTGTCCCTCAAAAACATGCACACGCACAACACAAAGTCTAGTTAGTGGAGGCATAGTACATGTTCCTGGGTTTATCTCAGCTTTTATCATAGTTTTGCATTTCACCTTTAAGGAGAGCACTGAAAAATATAATCTGACCTATGTGATTGATTGCCCATTGGTGCATTGCTGAATGTACTTACTATGGAGGCCTAAATGCATGTCAATATATGTTGGCTCTGCAATTGACATACCTGGGGCAGTATTTCCACAGAAGCTCTAGCAGAGAGCTGTAGCTAAAGGGAATCCAACAGTTACTACTGGATGAAGAGCTGGAGGTTTGGGGCAAAATCTTGTCTTGCGTATTTGAACCCAGTAATGTTGTATGAAAATCTCTGCTTAATTTTTGCAGGTACAAGTTTTTAAAATGCATCATATAAGGGGACACTGGCAAGATGTTAGGGTTGCGAAAGTGACCTGCCTTTACAGTATGACAGTAAGATTGTACCCTGCCCTGCACAAGGTGAAATTGCAAGCAGCCAACTCCCTTTCTGCATCCACACAGGGACAACACATTCTGGTCCATGCACTGTCCTGTGCACCAGAACTCTGCAGGGCTATTGCCGCTCTTGGCAACTCTCCAAAGTGGGCAAAGGAGAGTAGGGAGACCCTGTCTCTGCACTGGCCAGTGGAATGGACCATACTTGCCATCCTAGGATGGAGCAGTGGCTGTGTTCTCCCTGTGTTCCCAAGGGCTTGTGCCCTGAATGCACAAAAGAAATTTGGTGCCTAATTCCCAATTTTGGGACCGTTGCAATGCACAGAAGTCCTGCTGAACCATGGAGGTGCCTAAACTCACTCGGCACCTAAGTTTTTGCAGTAAAACTTCTCTACACACCCTGTTTCTGAGCATGCGTACTGCTGCCTCCCTCTAGGCATCTGGGTGCCTTTCTCCCACCTAAGCCCTAAAGCAATTCACAAATGGTAAGACAGGCATTCAGCTGCCTAAGTCATGGGCTGGGCCCAATCCAATAGGCATCCCCCTCTGGTAAATTCCTACAAAACAGCCAGGAGGCGGGGAGGACTAGGACCTCCCTCATATGACTCTTTGAGACAGACAGAGAACATACTAGCACAACAGTGACCTGATAGCCCAGAGGTTAGAGCACTCACGTGGGAGACCCAGGATCCAGTCCCCCTGCTCCAATGATTCATTATTTACCCAGAGTTCAACAGGAGAGACTGAGAAGCCCCACATCAGAATATCCCAGAGCCCAACAGTTAGATCACTCACCTAAGAGGTGACAGATCCCTGTTAAGATCCCTTTCCCCCTCAGGCAGAAGGGGAACTTAAACCAAGAATCTCCCACATACCAAGTGAGTACCCTAACCACTGGGCCAAATAATTATGAGAGAGCTCCTTTCCCCCCAACACACACATCCTCAGCTTCTTGGTAAAAGAGCATAGGCACCTAATGCCAAGACAGGGTTCACAGCTGAGAATCGTTAACAGAGATAGGTGCTTCCCTGCAGCCAGGACTTATGTTCCTATCTCTGAGACAGGGATGGACACACCCCTGTCATCGGCATCTCCCATTGGCTAGCTGAGGCCTGCCTAGCATACTGGCTTTTGTGAATCACAGGCAAAGGTGCCAACTTCTCCCTGTTCATTTTAGGAACTTAGGTGCCTGACTCAGGCTTTGTGAATTGCAGTGATTTCATAAGCGTCTAAAAGTTAAGCATTATGTCACAACGCTGAGTGTCACAACGCCTAACTCCCTTTGTGCATTCAGGCCCATGCCTCTAGGACAGGGTGGGCAAATTTTTTGGCCCTAGGGCCACATCGGGTACAGAAATTGTATGGAGGGCTGGGTAGGGAAGGCTGGGGGAGGCTATGCTTCCCCAAACAGCGAGGCATGACCTGGCCCCCACCCCCATTCCAGCCCCCCGGAACTCCCATCCCCATCCAACCCCCATGCTCCCCACCCCTGACTGCCCCCCAGGACCCCTGCATCCTATCCAAACACCCCTGCTCTCTGCCCCCTGACCATCCCACCGGGACACCCGTCCCCTATCCAATCCCCCCTGCTCCCCACCCCCTGACCACCCCTGGGACCCCACCCCCATACAATCTCCCCTGCTCCCCACCCCCTGACCGCCCCCTATCCAACCCTCCCTGCTCTCCCCGCCCCACGTTACCTGTGGGGTGGGGGAAAGGGGGGCTCAGTCCTTTTCCTGTGTGTTTCCCCTGCTCATTTGGCTGCTCTCCCTGGCAGTCGGGCAGGGCTCACTCCTTGTCTGGGCTTGGCTGCTGGGGACAGGGGCCAAGCATGCTGGAGATGGAGGGGGGGGGGCCCCGGTTTGCTCTTCCCCTGTCCCTGGCAGCAGGGCCCAGTCCCCTTGACCGCCCCCCTGAAACTCCCCTCCCCCCCTACTCCTCGCCTCCTCCCCGGAACTCCCCCTGACCGCGCCGCCCTGGAGGTCCAGGTCTGGCCGTGCTATAGCCATGCCTCCCGGCCGGAGCTACAGCCATGCTGCCCAGGTGCTGGGGGAACTGTGACTGCGAGGAAGGGAGGGTAGCAGAAGGGGAGGGGCCAGGGGCTATCCTCCGCCCCACTCACCACGCTGCCGGGGAGTTGGGCTGGCTCCTCTGCAAGCCTGTCCTGACCCCGCTCCCTGGCAGGAGCTCGGGGGGCCAGAGGGAAGGGTCCTGCGGACCAGATGTGGCCCGCGGGCCGTAGTTTGCCCCTCCTCTGCTCTAGGAGCTGGACCTCCACACCAACCCCAGCACCAACCAGCCTGTGCCTTCAAGGCCCAATTGAGCCCTATATAATTATATACTTGAAGTGAGAAGTCATTCCAGCCCAGCAGGATTGTTTTGACTTTAATTCGTCCCTGGATAGAATACCTTTAAATAATAATAAACACACCAGCTGGTATAAGACCTGCCAGTAAATAAAAGCTGCATACAGAGGTAACCTGCAGTTACTTCCTTCAGGCACAACTTTGTTTATATGTGAAACCTGTGCTAGATGCTGCTTTTGGGCCAGATTCGCCAGTGTGCTCCAGCTGCCTTGTACAGCTCTGGTGAGGCAAAACATCTGCAAACCCAGCTTAATCAACCAGTTTAATCAAGTTTATATCTGCTTTGTAGCACCGGAGTGATGCAAAGAAGCCAGAGGGTACCAGTGAATCTGGCCCATTGATTATAAAATTATTCTACTGATATAATAATCAACTGTCAAAACCCCAGCAGACTGGAATAAGGAGGACATTTCCAGTTATAATATACCAAAATTAATGGAGGTTGTATTTGGGGCCTGAGCATCCTTGAAATGGTCCTTTTCATTTTCAAGTTACCAAGACACACATGGTCAAACCCAGCCTGACTTCCGTGGAATTCTCTGGTTCAAATTCAGCTGTGACTCATAGTGGATTATTACATTCTGAGTGTAAGTTGCTAGGTAGTGTAACTTGCCCCTGTTTGACGAATGGGCTGGACTCTGGTCTTATTTACATTGTATAATCCAGTGTGACTCCACTGGATGCAATAGTTACTCTATAGTTACATGGTACAATAATAAACTGGAATCTAGCCAATCATCATAAATTCTGCTACATTTACACCATGTCTAGATTTGACCATAAAATCTAGAGACAGAAAAGATCTACTGTGTGATGCAGTCCATCTCCCTGCCATTGAAAGATTATGTTTACTATTTCTTTGTCCAGTCCGGCTTTACATTTGCCAAGAGATAAGGCTTCTACCACTTCTCTTGGGAGACTATTAAATGTAAAGCTTAATCAAACTAGCAAGAGAGTAAGCCAAAGAGAAGACATTCACAATTTGCATGGCTAATAGTGCAGTTGAAAGAAAAGGGTTGGGAGAGTGCAGGAGATTTGACTCTGACATGGATATTCTCCTTCGACTCAAATATATAGGGTCAAATTCTGGTCCTGCTTTGGGTGTCACTTTACACCTCGGGACCTGCCAATCTCTCTTGTGTCATTCTAGACAAAAAGCTATGATTATATTTAACTTGCAAATGTAAATGTTTGTTATTCCCCCAATTCGTGACAAATCAGCATAGAAAAAAGAAAGAGCAATAGCTGCCCCGAACAGCAATTTGGAGCCTTTTCCCCCTCCATTGTAAAGGATGCCGAAAAACTTGAATGGAAGTTAATAAAAAGAAATCACATGTTTTCCACAGAGAGACCAGAGATCCTTGTACTCTCCATTTGGAAATGTCTTTGGGAAACCCTTGAATTCTTTATAAAATTAAATTCAATTAAAAAAATATTATTTTGCCTCTGAAGCCACATGGGATTGTAACTCACAGCAAAGATTTCATTAATATGCTGCCTATATCCTGTACCAAGAACTTCATTGTATTCAACAGGATGTTCTCACCAAACCATTTCCCATCTATTCCTTCCTGCCCTCCTATTAAAAGACTTGTGCATTTTGATTCTGAATGGTGATTTCTCATTCCAGTGATCCCTCACTGATCTACCCCTCCACCCCTATTCCCTTTTGTTTTACAGATTCTCTTTTATTTTGATATAGTTTTTACTGTCATTTTCACCATTGAAATTGCTCTGAAGGTAAAGTCCCCATCTTCTCTTCCATTATTATCTGTCACTTATAAGCCTACTAGTTCTCTGCCACTATCTGTTGCTAACACACATGCCTGTTTGTATTGGGTCACGCTCAGTACCACTAACCCGATTGTGCTTATTTTTCAGATCCTAGGCAATGCAGACTATGTCTTCACTAGTATCTTTACATTAGAAATTATTCTTAAGGTAACCAATCTGAGCAATACACTTCTCTCTCTTTCTCTCTCGCTCTCTCTGTCTTTGTATCACTTTAAATCCCGTTGTTATCTCCACAGACAGGATTTTCTTTTGTTTTTTAGCTTATTAGTAGTTGTCTAAGCTTCTAAACAGATTTTTTGTCCAATTTTGATATTCAAATGACATTAGTTATTTAAGGCCAGTGTCAGCATGATGCTGCATTGGGGAGTCAATATGAAGGGATGATTCTCTCTGGAATATTAGACAGGGACAAGAAAAGGGCAAACAGGCCAGAAATTTACCCCAGCAGTTGCCAATCTTTTCAGGACAACAGTACATGTGTACCATACTAAGAACCATGAGCATGCAAACCTCTCACATGTGGAACTCACACTGCAGAACAGCACTGTGTGAACCAGTGCCCTTCCTCCCTCACACAGTTTGGCATGCCAAAACCTAAAGTGAAGCTCTGAGTTCTACACCATCATGAGACTGAAGTTTGTAGCAGCCAGAAGTCCCTTGTGGCTCAATGGGAGACAAACAACAGAATTCCATAGGGGCCCAGCAGAGAAGCTCATTGTTAAGGTCTGGAGGAGGAGCCTAGAATACCAGTCATTAAAGAATGAAGGCCCATAACTGGGACGGGTACTGGTAGTTGAAAATCTCTGATCCAGAGACTGAAGCTGCCTGGCTCAATACCCCCTTCTGATTTTTCAGGGGAACACCCTGGCCACAAGGAAATGGAACAGGAGAATAGTTTGGCAATGAAGAAAATAAAAATCTGTTGCCTCTGTCTTAATTCTCATTTTCCCAAAAACTAATATTTTAAATAACAGTAATCAAGCAATGTCCTGGCTCTCTAGATGCAGGGTTCAGTTGGCAACTTGCTTTTTACTCAGTGAACTGGTTTTAAGCGCTGGCAGATGGCAGCGTTCTCCTTGGAGCTGCTGAGATCTCATAATTCAGACAGCTAATACAATATCCAAATGAACACTGGAAGGGCAGGATGCTCCCTGAATGTTAGGAACTGGGCTTGTCTGTTTGGCTTCAAAGCACCAAAACCACAGTGCTGTCCAAAGAGGCTCACACTTTTTGTTGTGCTGCTGCATGCAGTGTGTGTGCCCATTAAATCTATCACCCACAAAAAATAACATGTTAAAAAGGAAAGCAACAACATTAAATATAAGTTTAGTCCAATCTTTAGCTCTCTGTACAAGAGCATTTGACTTGATGGTAGTATACCACCAATGGCCCAGTCCCGCTCCCACTGATATGAATGGCAAAGCTTTAATTGACTTCAGTGGGAGTGGGATCAAGTCCCAACGTTTTATCTAACAAAACTAGCAGAGTGGTCTGTTTTCCCCTGGAGGAGTAAACCTTCTAGTAACTATTTCTGGGATTCAATCCTGGTTCCATTGAAGTCAATGGCAAAACTCTTGTTAAATTCAGTGGAACCAGGATTTCAACCCTGGGCTTTTTCCAGGTGTAACTGATAGGCGAGCAGGGACTGAGCACAGGGTTAGGAGTTAGGAAATCCTGAGTTCTAATCCTGTCTCTGCTAGTGTCCCGTAGTTTGACTTTAAGACAAGTCACTTAATCTCTCAGGGCCTGTTTCTCCACTGTCTTGCATCTTGTACAGTCTTTTACATGAGCACCAAGTAGGTGTAAAGAGTTGCCTTGACTGGACAAGCACAAATGACCGTACAAAGCTCAAGACAGTGGAGAATTTGTAATATGGGGCCGATAACACTTCCCTACCTCACAGTGTTGTGATGACCGTTAATTAATTAATGTCTGTACAATGTTTTGAACATATAAAGTGCTGTATAAGCAAAGACTATAATTCTTCTTTAAAATGGTATTGCAGTTGTTTTGGTCAGTGCCACAGGTGGAAAGCAGACCCTGGATTATACACTCTTTAAGTATCTTCCCTGAATATAGTGAAATCTTCCAACAGGCGGTAAAGAACCACTGTTCATACAGTACTGAAACCCAGCAGAGCGTCCCACCCTGATTTCAATGGTGTCTTCTTTCTTTCAAGATTGCCATACAAAATACAAGCAGTAAAGGGCATCTTTACCACCTTTGTCATGGCAAGAACCCTCCCTTCCCCCAGTCAAATGTGTCCATAAGTATAAATTCTAAATTGAGGCCAGAGTTTATACTTCCTTCCCTTCTGAGTTCTGTCTGATTGATTGATTGGTAGGCAGTTCCTAATGCCATGGATGTTTGGTAAATAAAGTCATGCACTATATCATGCTGTCTTCAGCACTCCTTTGACTGGAATTGCCATGGATAGCCAGGGCTGGAAACTGCCAGGAAGTACACTATCTGGACTAATAGCAGGAACCAGAGAATCCATATAAGTTTGTGTATCCTTCACAATCCAACTGGACTTAGCCTCTGATTGTTCTTCTCCTGCTTTGAGCAGCCTGGTTAAAGCTAATCACTTTCAGAAACTGCAATGCTAGTCTCATCTAGTTGTGTTTTGAGATGGGTCTTGCCCATAAAATTCAAATCAGGGTCTGAACTTTCCCAAAAGGATGCTCCTTTTCTGTGGGACAGAGGGAATTCTAAGGCTCCAGAACTATTTATTGACAATGTAAATAGAGAGAGATGGGTCTGAACCAAAACTCCAGGTCTAAAAATTTCTGGACATCCCAAAGTTCAGAGGTTTTTAGGCCTGGAGTTTTGTTCAGACCCATCTGTATTTACACTCAATAAATACAATTCCAAAGCTGGAAAATTCCACCTGTCCCACAGAAAGGGAACTTTTTTTTCTCAGAATCTCATTGTTATTCAATAGAATACACCTTCTGGGACAGGGAATCCCTCATACCAGAAGTGGAATTTTAATGTTCCAAGAGTGGAAGGTGCTCCTGCTGACTGTTCTCCCACTACAGAAGCTTTAGTCACATTGTCCCATGGAATCTTTCCTTAGGATTTGTGAGAAAGGAACAGAGGGAAGAGAGGGGAAATATACATGTTTCATTTCTTGAACAAAATTACAGGGACCAAACTGGGGCTGAACTTGAGGGAAAGCAAGTAGAGAGGACACTGGATTGAGTTTCTGAATCTAGGGAATGAATCAAATAAAAAGGGAATTCTGCCTATTGTTTCAGCCCTGGCCTAAATCATAAAATCCCCAAGTGATTCAGTTGTTGTTCTCACTCAGAGGGAGGAGGTCTCAGCTGTCCACTCCAGATGGTATTGCCCGGGAAAATATCCCAAGAAACAGTCCCTTTTTATGTAATATTTTTATTCAGCCTAGTCCTGGAAACCTTTATAAAATGCAGGCATCTTAGTCATAAGTGCCTTGCTATTAAAGATAAAGGGGAAGGCATTTGGTTGCAAAGAGTTGTTTTTGCAAATATTCACTGTGTTGCTTTGCTATTTCTAAGTGAACTTTATGTTCTCTGTATGCTCTAATTCTAAGGAAGAATTACTGATGGCCCCAAATGAGCACTCGCTCCCCAGATGGGCTGGACACTGGCTTGAAACTTTTCCTCATATATTCTCATGATAGTTATTTTACCCTGTCTCCCACTTCATTTTCTTTCCACTGGGACCCAACCTGTCCACTGGGGTTTAGAGGTAAAATGACTGCTGCATTAAAAATATTGCCCTTCCTTAATATATACACCTTGAGCACCACAAGTTGGACTTGGTCTGAGAGATGGTCCCCGAATAGCTGCTAATGGCAAAGTTTGTTTGTGTCTCCATGTGCCTCCTCGCAGATGACCGCATATGGAGCTTTCCTCCACAAAGGCTCCTTCTGCAGGAACTACTTCAACATCCTAGACTTGCTGGTGGTCAGCGTGTCTCTCATCTCCTTTGGGATCCAGTGAGTGAGCCATTCTTGACTGAGATATTTTACTGGTCTGTTGGGAGGGCGGGAGGGGGAGGGGAGGTACTAGATGGGTTATGTTGGCTTGTCTGTACAAGATTTTTTTATTTTTTACACTCCCCTGAACAACAACAGTCTTCTTGAAGCCTCAGAATTGTTTTCCAGACTCATTCAGCAAGTAGCTTATACTAACATATAAGGCTCAATATGAATTGGGTCCTGCTGTCTGTCGGTAATGACCTGGAGCAGGAGATATCGGAGATAGCAAATGAAAGAGAAGAGTGTAATCCAGTGGTTAAGATAAGGAACTGGGAGTCATGAAACTCTTGGGCTCTCACATATACCACCCTCAGTGACTCAGTGACTCCTTCTGTAAAATGGGGTAATATAGATCTACTTCACAGAGGTGCTCTTCCTTAAGGAATGCTTGCAGGGCACTTTGAGAGCCTAGGGAGAATCCTGCAAAAAAATTATAAAGTTGTTGTTGTTACCCAAACACTCCTTCCATAAACGTTACCAAGCGTATGGAACCACTTGGTTCTGTTAGAAGCCAGGGTAATTCCTATATAACAAGAACCCAGCTGATCCTGAAGCAACTCTTCCTTGTTCCTATTATGCGAATAACAGCTTCCTTAGGGCCTGATCCAAAGCCCATTGAAGTCGACAGAAACATTCCCTTTGACTTCAGTGGGTTTTCTATCAGCTTCTTAATAACTATGCAGTGCTCATTTTGGTGATTATCCGCAGCCCTTGAAGAGCTTGTTCAGGCTCTTCATATGCTAGCAAAAGGAGAATGTTCCCAAAAGCTGTAGGCCGGGGCCTTACACCATACAACTGCAGGAGGGAGTCTTCATGAGGGGCTCACTCCTGCACGGTGCTGACTCAGCACTCTGCCCTAGATGTAGCAGAGCACTCATCCACACGCTTAAAGTTAAGCACATGAGTAGTCCCACTGAATTCAAGGGGACAATTCATTTGCTTAAAGGTTAGTTCATGCTTAAATGTTTTGCTGGATCAGAACCCAAATGCTCAGCACCTTGCCAAGTCGAGCCCCAGGTTGGATGAGGAACCTTTAAATTCATGAGACACCAGGAATTAACTGATGTGCTCCTTTCTTCTGTTAGAATTTCAGTGGTGTGCTTCTTTGTGCCCTCATCTTAAAATGTCTTGCGGTGATTGCATCTTGGCACCGTTTTCCATTGCACATCCGTCGTGTATTTGGCAGCTTGTCCTGTTCGAGAGAGCCCTCTCTGTGTTCTGATCGTTTTGTGAATACAATGGATATAGCTAACGCTAGTGGGATGTACCCTTGAACTCTGATCAAGAGGCTGGGCCCATCAGTAGGGTAGCTTCCCAACCTATCTCAGTGCTTTCTGAAGTGCCTCCTAAAAGCTCCTTCCTTTCACAGAAAGTTCTGAAACATGGCTAAAGTTACATTTTAAAAAACTAGATGTATTCTGAGGAGAGTATCTACCATTCTTGATGTCTCTGAATTATATATTTATTCAAAGCAAGGACGCGGTTCAAATGAAATGATGTGTAAGGAACTTGCTTGTGTGTGTGCACACGTGCACCACTGCCCTCTAGTATACTAAATCACACTATGATAATCTGTCATAAACCCTATGCTACCAACAGCTAATGGAGATTCTTCTTTAGCCAAAATTGAAGTAGCCTATGCCTTTGACGCAGAAGGTACCAAATTCTATCCCTGTTGCCACCTTGATGCTTTCAGTGGCATGGCATGCAGCAAAGGGATGACTCTGAAGTTTTCGGCGGCCCTGGATTTCTTACAGTATTTACAAATGGGAAATTGTTGGTGAAACTCCAGAATCCATCTGTCCCCTCAGGTAGGTCACTTCCTATTGCTACTGTAAAAGCTAATGTACTACTACTCTCTTCCAGGTCCAGTGCCATCAATGTAGTGAAGATCTTACGTGTCCTGCGAGTGCTCAGACCGCTGAGGGCCATCAACAGAGCCAAGGGACTAAAGGTTAGAGAAATCCTGATCCCCAGCATTGTTGTTCTCAAGGCTAGAAACCCAGGTTACTTCAGTCAAGAAGTACCAGCCTTTTCACACTGCTCGAGTAGTGTTTAAAGGATCACTGACAAGGTTGGAGGGCCTAATGCACCAGCTTTAGGTTGGTTTGCAGATAGGTGGGCTGTGTTTCTTGCCTTCTCTCTATCAGCCAGGTCCCTTCACCTGACCAGGAAGGGTATTCATATAGCTGAGTTCTGATCTTTTCTACACTTTTCTGCCTGTTCACAAGACTACAGCTCACAGTCCAGGGAGTCTTTTCTTCCTTTCCTGAGACACCACTTTATGAAACTTGTAAACTGGGTTTCTTATATTTTTGCTGAATCCTTGGGCTTCTCTCATAGCAACAGCAGCTCGGGATGGTCCCTCCAGTTACTCTTGCCCCTGTCTTTCCTTTTCAGCACGTGGTCCAGTGTGTATTTGTAGCCATCAGAACCATCGGAAATATTGTGATCGTCACCACTTTGCTGCAGTTCATGTTTGCCTGCATTGGAGTTCAGTTGTTCAAGGTAAAACCATTGAGTCCATTCATTTATCCATCCCACTGAATCATCTTCTCTGGCAGTGGGGGGGAGTACCGTGGAGCAGTGTAGGGGAAGGGGAAATGGAGCTTTGCATGGAGCAGAAACCATCCTCAGTACTGTCAGATAGGAAGCCTGGGTTAAGCAGTAATCTCCCAGGCTCCCATTAGCCAAGTTCCGAGGACACAAGACCAGGCGTGTCGCAAAGGTGACTCATTAAACCTCAGGTCATAAGCACCAGAAGCAGCACTTTGCCACCCTCTCCCATAAGTTTGTGGCATAACATCAATAGCAGTGCGGCTTTTCTCGGGGAATGTCCACATCCATGTCTTGTACTCCAGATGAATGCTGAATGTTCCTTCTGTCCTCTCCCTATGGTTTCTCCTTTTATACTCCATCCTCCTGACACTAGTTGTTACTCAGCTCTTCATGGAGACTCATAGTCAGTTAAGCAAAGAGAAAGTGCAGTCTCCTTGCTACACCGATCAACCATAATGAAGGGAGACTTTACTCTTCTTCTCTCATTCTCCCCTAGGGCAAACTGTATAGCTGCAGCGATAGCTCCAAGCAAACAGAAGCAGAATGCAGGTAAGTCTGGCCTTTCCCAGGCAGCTGCATTTCTCAGCTCCGCTCTAACTGGATCTAACTTGGAAACTGAAAATCTCTCTTGTTTTCCTTCTGCCGTCCAACAACAGGGGGCATTACATTTCGTACAAAGACGGAGAGGTCACACACCCAATGATCCAGCCCCGCAATTGGGAGAACAGCAAGTTTGACTTTGACAACGTCTTGACTGCCATGATGGCACTCTTCACTGTTTCAACCTTTGAGGGCTGGCCAGAGTGAGTGCACAGCTGATCAGGGAGTCAAAAGGCTTGATGATGGGGAGCAGTGCAACTTCCCCATTCATTTCTTTTTAGGGAAAATCTAAATCTAACCATTAATCTTCCCTCGTCTAAATTTTCGTGCAGTGTTGCTTAACAGCTGCCGCACCCCAGCCCAGAGGTGGCTACATTTCAGAGGTGGGTGAAGTGATTTCTATAATATCCCTTATCATCCACTCAGCAGAGTTATGAGGCTTAATTAGTGTTTGTAAAGTGTTTTGGTATCTTTAAAGGAAGGCGATAGAAAAGTGCAGAGGAGAAGTCGTAGCAGCATTAGTATTTCTGTATATGAAGATTGTAAGCTCCTTGGTGCCAGGCCTATTGCCCCTTTCACACTTTCAGTTCTCAGCAAATACTGATGAGTAGTAGAAGCAATATTAATATTTTGATTACTACTGATTAATATTAACATTATTATTCTTTCAACCAAGTGAAAGCAGTTGTTCCCATTTTGACAGTTCCAGTTAGATGTCCAGTACCAAATGCTTGGTATTGTAGAATACTATGTGTATAATAGCTCCCGGCCATGCCATACTTTATCTGTGCTGTGAACTGCATGTGAGGCACGTTATCAATAGTTACGGAAAATGGTGAGCTTTTTCACAGGGCCATGCCACCATTGCCAGGCCGGTGTGAAATGCAACAGCACAGGCCTGTCCATGCTGGTGAGACACGAGATGTCTCACAGTGCCATCCTGTCTGTGCCAGGGGGGCCCGGCATCTCCCTCAGTACCATTCCATCAGGGTGACTCAGGCATGAGCTGTCTCATGACCTTACCCTGTCCATGCTAGCCAGGCTCAAGAGCTTCCTCTTGTTGGTGCCAGCATGACTTCAAATAGTTTAAAGTGCCAAGATCATGCTTCCTTTCAGAACTCCTGTGAACAGCCCCAAACTAGGACCAAGTTCCCAACAAATTGGACTGTTCCTTCTTTATCTGAACTATATTAAATGAAGGGACAGATCTTATATTTTAACCTTTTAAAGGACTAAAGTACAGAAAGCCCTGAACCCACAGCAGAGTTGAACAGATAAATTAAGATCTAGATCTGAACTTTCACAAAAGTTTGGGAGTCAGATCAGGAGGTTTAGTGTGTGTCTTGTCCCTGTATAAAACTAAGTCATTTTTCGATATTGATAAAATTAGAAGAAAATAGCTAAAACTTAGACTCCCACCATCTTACTTACATAGCCCAATGGGGTGTTATGAGACAATTATGTTGGAATTTTTCTAAGTGTCTGCATTGGGTTTCTCTTCACTTTTAGGCTACTGTACAAATCCATTGATTCTCACATGGAGGACGTGGGACCCATCTATAACCACAGGGTGGAGATCTCCATTTTCTTCATTATCTATATCATCATCATTGCTTTCTTCATGATGAACATCTTCGTTGGTTTCGTCATTGTCACGTTTCAGGAACAAGGAGAGCAGGAATACAAGAACTGTGAGCTGGACAAGAACCAGGTAACTTATGGCTGCATAGTGCAACCAAAGGCATGAAATACTACCCAAAGGAAATACTCAAGGGCTAAAAATACAGCCGGAGTGGAACATATGAGGACTATCAAAGGGATAAAGCACTGTGCTGTCTCTATTTGTCATCATTCAAGAACCAGGTAAAAGAATTTCTTCTTAAAGGCCCATACATAGAGCCAAATTCTGCTGTAACACCCGTGCAACCACACTGACTTCATTGGGGTTGCATGAGTGTAATTGAGGGCAGAATTTGGCCCACAGGAAGTACAGATGGAGGCTCCAGTAAGTAGAATTTATTTATTTACATTGTGATCTAAAAGAAATTCCATACCAAAAAAAATTGTCATTGAAATGTATTAATGTTTTACACCTGAGGCAACCCACCTATCAGATGCATGGAGTGAAAATACAGGAGCAGGTATATATATATGAAAGGATGGGGGTTGCTTTACCAAGTGTGAGGTCAGTCTAACAAGCTAAATCAATTAACAGCAGGATACCAAGGGAAGGAAAGTAACTTCTGAAGTGGTAAGAGAGTGGCCAATTACAGACAGTTGAAAAACTTAATTTCCCCAATACTAATTTCTCCCTACTGTTACTCACACCTTCTTGTCAACTGTCTGTAATAGGCCACTCACTTACCACTTCAAAAGTTATTTTTCCTCCCTTGGTATCCTGCTGTTAATTGATTTAGGTCATTAGACTGACCTCACACTTGATAAAGCAACCCCCATCCTTTCATGTATTTATACCTGCTCCTGTATTTTCACTCCATGCATCTGATGAAGTGGATTCTAACCCATGGAAGCTTATGCACAAATAAATTTGTTAGTCTCTAAGGTGCCACAAGGACTCCTTGTTATTTTTGCTTATTTTTTTAATCTCTCCTTTCTCTTTAATAGCGCCAATGTGTTGAGTATGCCCTGAAGGCCCGCCCCCTGCGGAGGTACATCCCTAAGAACCAATACCAATACAAAGTGTGGTATGTGGTGAATTCCACCTATTTTGAGTACCTGATGTTCGTTCTCATCCTGCTGAACACCATCTGCCTGGCCATGCAGGTAAGTCAGAGATCAGAAAGCACCATAGGTGTGTGGGTGGGCAGCCCTTCAGCTGGGAGGATGTGGGAGTCTGGCAGGGCTTTAAGTTGCTCCCCAACCTATAACTCCTCTGAGGTGAGAAGAAGAGACCTGATTCTCTTGTTTGTTAATGACATTGGGCCAAATTCATTCCTGGTGAAAAAACACTGAAACCATGAATCTGGCTCTCCTCCTCTTTCCAAGAGGGCACTGTGACGGGGGAAGGCCAGATGGCTATAGTAAAGTAATGGGAGACAGATACATTAGCCACAGGCTAAACAATCCCTGTTACCAGGATAAGCAAATGGCCGCTGCTCCAGGTCAGTTAAGACACCTGGGGCCAATTAAGATCTTTCCAGAAGGCAGGGAGGACAGCTGGGTTAATTGGGACACCTGAAACCAATCAAGCCAAAACTAGTTAAAAGCCTCCCAGTTAGTCAGGTGGGCGCAAATGTCAGGAGCTGTAGGAGGAAGTCATGCTATTGGAGAGACTGACCAGTACAAACCATATCAGTCACAAGGAAAGAGGCCCTGAGGTAAGGGTGAAGTAGATCTTGAGGAAGTGGGGACTGCTGTGGGGAAGTGGCCCAGGGAATTGTACGTGTCCTGTTTCTAAAAAGTCAGCTACCATAGCTGATACTATTAGGGTTCCTGAGCTGGAGCCCGGAGTAGAGGGTGGGCCTGGGCTCCACCCTTTGCCCCTCAGTTAATCACTAAGACTGGGAGACAATAGAGACTGTGCAAGGGAGGGTAGCTTCTCCTCACCTCCCTTGCTGGCTTATGATGAAAGTGGCTCAGTAGGCTGTGACCCTTGCCTCTAGAGAGAGAAGGGCTACGTGGAGGGCCACAGTGAGCCTCTGAGGCTAGCGAAATCCACCAGGAAACACGGGACCCACGGAGACAAGGACAGAGCTTTGTCACAGCACCAATAACTTAATTCTGTTTATCCTCAATTAAAAAAGAAAACACAGCGAAGTCACAGTCCAATTAAATGGCAATCCAAAGAACAAATGAATTCACAAGCCATGGACAAAAGTAGAAGCAGAAGTAGGCCTGAACCAATACCTCAGATATAAATACCCCCTATAACTCCAGGAAGGGCCAGCACCAAGATCTGAACTTTGCATCTCACCCCTTTCCTGATTGGAAAGAGAGGACAAATATCTGGGGAAGAAAAGAAAGAGGGGTGGAAATGGAAGGGAAAAAATCACTAGTATCATCTTTACTCTGTATCTGTTCTTATATTGCTGAATGAAGACTAGGTCATTTGAATTCACCATGAGAACACACCAAATACTACATTGATGGCCACATATTCAAAGGGGCTTCATCCCAGTCTTCTACATCATGGGTGCAGTTTTAGGTTTTGCACCTACGCTACTTCACAACTCAGTTATTGCCCATTTTGTCAACTACACGTTGTGTGCAAACTTGCATTTGTTCGTGCAGGTCAGGTAATTAAGTGCTTATATTTGCAGAGGATGCATTTGAAAACTCAGCCAATAGGTTCAAATTCTATCCTTTGATGCGTATTTATGGCAATGAGAGTCAAGCACATACAATTAAGGGCTGAATTTGTCTCAAAGAATGAAGTGTTGTAGCAGACCTGCAGCCTATTAGGACTGCTTCCTTTCCTTCCTGGAGACTTGCTGTGTTCAGAAGCAAAGCTTCTGGAAGCAATGCCAGACAAGGAAACTAATTAGTGATGTAGTGAGAGATATAATACTGTCATGGACCAGTAACTAACTAAGAGACAGAAAACAAAGACCAGGAATAAATGGTCAATTGTGTATAGAGTACATACATCAGCCACCTCCCTAGCATGGGTAGAAATAACAGTGTAGACAGTGAGGCACTGCTTAGGTGAGTGGAGTAAAGACATGCCAGAACCTTAGGATACATACCCTACCCAGCTCTTGACACCCCCCAAGCAGTGCCTCCCACATCTATGTTGCTATTTTTAGCAGTGTTGGCAGAGCCCTTCCCTGCTGCCTCCATGCTACCAGAGCCTTTCACTGCCACCTGTAGCTACACACCATAGTGTGGATACAGACTAGTTTTCATAGAATCATAGAATTGCTGGGCTGGAAAGGACCTTGAAAAGTCATCAAGTCCAGCTCCCTGCACCGAGGCAGGACCAAGTAAGCCTAGACCATCCCTCTAACAGATGTTTGTCCAATCTGTTCTTAAAAATCTCCAATGATGAAGATTCCACCATCCCGCTTGGAAGCCTATTCCAGAGCTTAACTACCCTTACAGTGAGAAAGTTTTTTCTTATATCTAACCTAAATCTCCCTTGCTGCAGTTTAAGCCCATTACTTCTTATCCTACTTTCAGTGGACACGGAGAACAACTGATCAGTCCTTTTTATAACAGCCCTAAACACATTTGAAGATTGTTATCAGGATCTCCCACAGTCTTCTTTTCTCAAAACTAAACATACCCAGTTTTTTCACCTTTCCTCCTAGGTCAGGTTTTCTAAACCTTCCATCATTTTTGTTGCTCTCCTCTGGACTCTATCCAGTTTGTCCACATCTGTTCTAAAGTGTAGTGCCCAGAAGTGAGGCCCCACCAGTGCCAAGTAGAGTGGGATAATTACCTACCATGTCTTACCTACAACACTCCTGTTAATACATCCCAGAATGATATTAACCTTTTCTGCAACTGCATCATATTGTTGACTCTCGTTCAATGTATAATCCACTATAAGCCCCATATTTTTTTCAGAAATACTACTGCCTACCCAGTTATTCCCCATTTTATAGTTGTGCCTTTGCTTTTTCCTTCCTAAGTGAAGTACTTTGCACTTGTCTTTATTGAATTTCATCTTGTTGATTTCAGATAAATTCTCCAAATTGTCAAGGTCATTTTGAATTCTAATCCCATCCTCCAAAGCTCTTGCAACCCTTCCCAGCTTGGTGTCATCTCCAGACTTTATAAACATACTCTCCACTCCATTATCCAAGTCATTAATGAAAATATTGACTAGTAGCAGACCCAGGACTGACCCCTGTGGAACCCCACTAGATACACCCTCCCAATTTGAGATCGAACTATTGATAACTACTCTTTGAGTACTATTTTTCAACCGGTTTTGCACCCACCCTATAGTGATTTCATCTAGATCCTAGTTTGCCTCTGAGAATGTCATGTGGGACAGTGACAAAAGCCTTACTAAAATCAAGATATATCACATTTTCACTGTAGTGTGTAGCTACACATGCAGCCACCAGTGTAGACAAGACGAGTATGATACCCTCAGGTTCCATACTAGGACCATCGTTGCTTAATATGTTCATCAACTACACACACACAAAATCTACATTAAAAGAGCATTATTAAGGTTGCAAAGTCAAGCACTCTGTATTAGGAAGTGGCAGAATTAAGGTTGTCTGTTCAACCGTAATTGGGCCCCTTGTGTGTATGCATTATGATTAAGCCTACATTTTAGTCACGGGTATTTTTAATAAAAGTCAGGGAAGTCCTGTCCATGACTTTTACTATATACCCCTAGCTAAAACTTGGGCAGGGGGCTGGGGAGCTCTGCAGGGGACAGTCCGGGGGTGCTGGAGGAGGGCGGGGGCAGGCAACTGCATGTGGCCCAGGACCCTGCTGGCGCTGGGGGAGCGGGAGGGGGCTGGCAGGGGCTCCCTACTAGGCTCCGCGTTACCCTGCAGCTCCTAGGAGGGGTCAGGGGGCTCCATGTGCTGCTCCCAGCACAAGCCCTGGTTGCAAAGCCCCCATTGGCCAGGAACCACAGCCAATGGGAGCTGTGGGGGTGGGGCCTGTGGGGGCGGAGCCCCCTGCCCCCTCCTCCGCCTAGGAGCTGCAAGGCCATGCCAGGGGGAGCCGGGGAGCCCCACAACCCAAGGTAAGCACCCCCCCCGCAGTCCCTTGCCCCTAGCCCTGAGCCCCCTCCCACACATTTAAACTGCTGCCGATGTAGAAGACACAGAGGTCACAGAAAGTCACAGAATCCGTGACCTCCATGACAAACTCGCTGCCTTAATTATGGTACAGTATTTAATGACATGATCACATATGATTTTTTCCACAGGCTCCCAGGCTCCATGTCCCAGTCCCCTCATCAAATCTCAGTCTCCCCATCCCCTCCCCAGTTGCCTGCCTCTGTCTCCCTCTCCCTAGACCCTAGTTCCTTGTCCCAGTCCTTTTGCCTAGTCAGTCCAAGTTCCTCCCCTGCACCACAGCTCCTTGTTAGATCTCTCTCCCTGCTGCACTGTTCCCACCCCCCATATTTGTTCCTAGTCCCATTCTCCGTATCCAACCAGTTCCAGTTTCTCTTCTCGCCCCCAGTCCCGGGCTCACCAGACTCCTTGTCCCAATCTATTCCTTTTCCTCCCCTCTGATCTGTCGTCTGTGTGCATTCAAATCAGACAGTTTCCTCCTCCATGCTGCCTGGGTGCCGGCAGGGGAATCACTGAGAGCACAGAATAGATAGACTTCCTGCTCTCAGCACAGCCCCACCCCAGTCCAGAAGGGCTGGGATCAGCAGTCACACAGAGGTTATGTCTGCACAGCAAATAGACTCCCACGGCTGGCCCATGCCAGCCAATTCAGGCTCACAGGGTTCGGGTTGTGGAGCTGTTGTATTGCTGTGTAGACTTCCGAGCTCGGGCTGGAGCCTGGGCTCTGGGACACTGTGGGATGAGAGGGTCCCAGAGTTCAAGGCTGCAGTCCAAGCCCGGAAGTCTACAGAGCAATGAAACAGCCCCACAGCACGAACCCAAGTCGGCTGACACAGGCCAGCCATGGGTTTTTCTTTGCTGTGTAGACGTAACCAGAGTCCAGTTTCACTCTCCCTCTCCCCAGCCCTGAGTTGGAGCATGTTTAGTTGCTCTGTTTGGATGGTGCATGAACAGTCTGGTCAGCACTAGGTGACGAAGAGATGGAGCATCTTAACTGAGGATGAAATCTTTGACATTCTAGATGCTAAAAATCAAAGAAATCTCTGCTGAGCATGTGCAAACTGCAATTTTTCAAAGACTTATAGCTTAGCCAAATTTGGGCAGATTTTCACAGGGACACCAAAAGGCACATCTTTGATGAAAGCCACACACAGACACCCCTCCCCCCACAAAAATTGCAAGTCCCTTCCCCAAAGCAGGGAGAGATACTAGAGCTTTTCAAATAAAAGGTCACCAGAATTTTTTTTAATGGGTAGAACAGCATATTTTTCTCTAGTCTTGGTCTCAGATGAGCTGGACTGTTTTGGACTAAAAAATTTCCAAATAATTCAGCCTGAGCCAGATACCCAGCATGGAAAGTTTCAGCCCAAATGGTTAAAGTTTAGCCAAGTCTTATAAGCAACTGAAAACAGGGTCTTATAATGGGACGTGCCAGCAACCTTAACAATGGGCAGCACTACTAAGAACATAAGAATGGTCCTACTGGGTCAGACCAAAGATCCATCTAGCCCAGTATCCTGTCTTCCAACAGTGGCCAGTGCCAGGTGCCCCAGAGAGAATGAACAGAACAGGTAATCATCAAGTGATTCATCCCCTGTCGCTTATTCCCAGCTTCTGGCAAACAGAGGCTAGGGACATCATTCCTACCCACCCTGGCTAGTAGCCATTGATGAACCTATCCTCCATGAATTTAGTTATTTTTTGAACCCTGTTATGATCTTGGCCTTCACAACATCCTCTGGCAAGAAGTTCCACAGGTTGTGTGAAGAAATACTTCCTTTTATTTGTTTTAAACCCTGCTGCCTATTAATTTCATTTGGTGACCCCTAGTTCTTGTGTTATAAGAAGTAGTAAACAACACTTCCTTATCTACTTTCTCTATACCAGTCATGATTTTATAGACCTCAATCATATCTCCCCTTAGCTGTTTTTTTTCCAAGCTAAAAAGTCCCAGTCTTATTAATCTCTGCTCATACGGAAGCCGTTCCATACCCCTAATCATTTTTGTTGCCCTTTTCTGAACCTTTTCCTATTCCAATATATCTTTTTTGAGATGGGGCGACTACATCTGCACACAGTATTCAAGATGTGGGCATACCATGGATTTATATAGAGGTAACATGATATTTTCTGTCCGATTATCTATCCCTTTCTTAATTTTTCCCAGCATTCTGTTTGCTTTTTTGACTGCTGCTGCACATTAAGTGGATGTTTTCAGTGACCTATCCACAATGACTGCAAGATCTCTTTCTTGAGTGGTAACAGGTAATTTAGACCCCATCATTTTATATGTATAGTTGGGATTATGCTTTTCTATATGCATTACTTTGCATTTATAAACATTAAATTTCATCTGCCATTTTGTTGCCCAGTCACCCAATTTTGAGAGATCTTTTTGTAGCTCTTTGCAGTCTGCCTGAGTCTTAACTATCTTTAGTAATTTTGTATCATCGGCAAATTTTGCCACCTCACTGTTTACCTCTTTTTCCAGATCATTTATGAATATGTTGAATAGGACTGATCCCAGAACAGACCCCTGGGGGACACCACTATTTACCTCTCTCCATTCTGAAAACTGACCATTTATACCTACCCTTTGTTTCCTATCTTTTAACCAGTTACCAATCCATGAGAGCACCTTCTGTCTTATCCCATGGCAGCTTACTTTGCATAAGAGCCTTTGGTGAGGGACCTTGTCAAAGGCTTTCTGAAAATCTAATTGCACTATATCCACTGGATCCCCTTAGTCCGCATGCTTGTTGACCCCCTCAGAGAATTCTAGTAGATAGGTGAGGCATAATACCCTTTACTAAAACCATGCTGACTCTTCCTCAACAAATTATGTTCATCTATATGTCTGACAATATTGCTACTCTGAAACCTTCTTTATAAAAGTTTCAACCAGTTTGCCAGGTACTGAAGTCAGGTTTACAGGCCTGTAATTGCCAGGATCAACTCTGGAGCCCTTTTTAAAAATTGGCGTCACATTAACTATCCTCCAGTCATCTGGTACAGAAGCTGCTTTAAATGATAGGTTACAGACTACAGTTAGCAGTTCTGCAATTTCACATTTGAGTTCCATCAGAACTCTTGGGTAAATACCATTTGGTCCTGGTGACTTATTGCTGTTTACTTTATCAATTTGTTCCAAAACCTCCTCTAATGATACCTCAATCTGGGACAGTTCCTCAGATCTGTCACCTGAAAAGAATGGCTCAGGTTTGGGAATCTCTTTCACATCCTCAGCCATGAAGACCGATGCAAAGAATTCATTTAGTTTCTCCGCAATGGCTTTATCATCCTTGAGTGCTCCTTTAGCACCTCGATCGTCCAGTGGCCCCACTGGTTGTTTAGCAGGCTTCCTGCTTGTGATGTACTGTAAAAAAAAATTGCCATTATTTTTTGAGTCTTTGGCTAACTGTTCCTCAAATTCTTTTTTGGCCTTCCTAACTGTATTTTTACATTTCATTTGCCAGTGTTTATGCTCCTTTCTATTTTCCTCACTAGGATTTAACTTCCACTTTTTAAAGGATGCCTTTTTGCCTCTCACTGCTTCTTTTACTTTGTTGTTTAGCCACAATGGCTCTTTTTTGGTTCTCTTACTATGTTTTTAAATTTGGGGTATACATTTAAGTTGAGCCTCTATTATGTTGTCTTTAAAAAGTTTCCATGCAGCTTGCAGAGATTTCACTTTTGGCACCGTATCCTTTAATTTCTGTTTAACTTACCTCCTCATTTTTGTGTAGTTCCCCTTTTTGAAATTAAATTCTACAGTTTTGGGCCTCTGTGGTCTTTTTCCTGCCACAGGGATATTAAATTTAATTATATTATGGTCACTATTACCAAGCACTATTACTATATTCACATCTTGGACCAGATTCTGTGCTCCACTTAGGACTAGCCCCACCTTTAATGATCTGGTAAAGAGGATGAACAGTGAGATGGAAAATTTTGCAGTAGACACATTATGTGGGTTATTCAAGACTAGAAAAGACTGGGAGTAACTTCATAGGATCCTAATAAAGCTAAGTGAATGGGCAACATGAGTTCAGATATAATTCATAGTTGACAAATGCAAGGTAATGCACATTGGAAAGAATAATTTGAACTACTTATGTAGATTGTTGGATTCTGAATTAACGGTAATTACTCAGGAGCAAGACTTGGCATCATTGTGGACAGTTTAATGAAACTGCTGTGAAGTATGCAGCAGCAGTCAAAAAAGTAAACAAGATGTTAGGAAAGACTGGGGTAGGAAATAATATTGCAAATGTAATTATGTCCTTATGTAAATCAATAATGCATTCTCTACTGGAATACTGTGTTCAGTTCTGCTAACCCCCATCTCAAAAAAGAAGATGTCCAGAGACAGATGACAGAAATTATTAGGTGTATAGAAATACTTGCATGTGAGGGCAGATTGTTGAGATTGAGACCGATTGCTATAGAGAGGGGACATGCTAGAGGGGTGCACAATAATGAATGGTCTTGAGAAGGTAAACTGGGTGCTCCTATTTACACTTCCTCAGAATACAAGAACAAGGGCACATTTAATGAAACGAAATGCAACAAATTTAAAACTGATCAAAGGAAATACTGTTTTTAGCCAACATATAATTTACCTGTGGAATTCACAAGGTGTCATTGGAACAAAGAGGTAAGTAAGGTTAAAAAATGATTGGATGCTTATATGTATCCATAAGTACATTAGATAGGAATTAAAAAATTAGGAATTTAAATCCTCATGCTTCAAAGCATAAGCCAACCATTAACTTGTGGAGCCCCAATTTAGCAAAGCATTTGAACATATCCTTAAATCCATCCCTAGTCAGCAAAGCATTTAAGTACATGCATAAGTATTTTGTTGAACTGGGACCAGAGTTAAGAAGAACCTTCCTGTATGAGCAGGTTCTTTCATAATTGCCTATTATGCCATTTCTGTCAAGTTCCTGTGAAGCTTCTCATATTGGCAATTGTCAGGAACAGATTACTAGACCATATGGACTGCTGGTTTGGTCTAGTATGACAATTCCTGTGTTACAGACACGAACTAATCCTAAAGAGATCCATATCCAGTCTTCCTCGACTGAAGGAAAGTTATTGCTGTGAATGAGTTTAAGGAGAGAGGAGGCATAAACCTGAAAAAATATAGACAGTCCTCTTTAAGTGGGGGATGAAACCCTATATATCCAAACAACCCATTCTTCACAATGCTTCTGGGATGCTTTTTTTTCAGCACTATGGTCAGAGCTGTCCCTTCAAACAAGCCATGAATATCCTCAACATGCTCTTCACGGGTCTCTTCACCGTCGAGATGGTTCTGAAACTAATTGCCTTCAAACCCAAGGTAGGTGTTGTAGATTGGGAATTTCTCTTCCTGTGTGTGGTGGAAGTGAAGAGAAAATATGTAATAACCCTACCCCACCCCCGCAGTCACCACCCAGTAGCTAAACTGGGCAGTTACTCTCTGGATTGGAGTCTCACCCTGTGTTTGGAAGAGCTTTTCTCAGGTAGAGAGTAGACACGTAAAAAGAGCAGTGTCTTTTAGGAGAGGAAGATCCTGCTCCTTCGTTATTATGAAGTCATCGTAGTTACTCTACAGTTAAGGCTACTGCCTGATTTCCATATTGAATGCTGGTCTAATGCTCTCTCTAACTTTCCCAAAACAAATTTTATAGCCTGAAACATCTCCTGATTAGTCCCGAGGCCACAAAAGAAAAGTGAAGTTAATCAAATATGATTCATTTTGATTTATGGTACTTGGAAATTTTTCTTTGGGTTTTGGAAAAAATATTCTAATTGATCTACTCACAGGTCAGTTATCAGTCTGCTCATCAAAATGGCTGGCAAATTGGGCTTGTACCCTAGTGCTTTGTGAGGATTACAGCACAGAGCTGGTTTGGATAATGTTAGTTTTGAATTTAATAATTTATTGTCAATGTTGGAAACCCCATCAGTTCCTGTCTCCAGGGATTATTACGTTCACAGGAGCTACACATTCCACTAACATAATTATATCAGAAACAAAGTTGTAATTTACAAGCTCTTCCAGCTAACCCAACACAGCTCTTAAATTAACTGAGGCCTTCATCTTTTTAGTGTAGCTTCAGCTACATTTCAAGAAGTCTCAATATGGCATTAACAAAGGTGACAGTCTCCTCCATGTCCAACAACCAAGCTTGTCTATTATATTGAAAGTTAAAGCACCACCTTTCACCAACCTGTCATCCTTCTTCCCCTCAGCAGTGCACTAACTTTCTGCTTAAACTCCACTCAAACCAATATCTCTCTCCAGCATCATCTCTATGTTGGTTCTTCTCCTTCCTACCCCAGTACCTCTAGCCCCTCTCTTACCTTTTTCTATAAGGCCTTTTAAAAGGTAGGGAATGAGGAAAGTCACAGTCTCTGCCCTCAGCCAGCCCAGAATCTCTCTCCCTTCTCCCATCATCCTCTTATAGGTAGCAGTCATGAAGGTCACAAGTTTCATGGGTTATGTTCAAAATCTTGGTACTTTTGAGAGATCTCAAATGTAGTGCTTGTGAAAATTACAAGCATCACTGGCTGTACCAGCAGAGCTTGTAACTTTCAGTAGGCAGTAGGCTTACAAGTTTGTGACTTTGCCACATATGCTACCGTAGAAATTCTTCTAAGTCCAACACTTTGTAAAAACCTTATATGCATATTATATGTGTAGGAACATACATCATGCATTTAGTAGCATTCTTCTGCTTAGATCCTGCTTTGTTACACTCTTCAAGCTTTGCTATGGGCTCTGATCACTGTGAGTTTAAAAATAACCTGAGAATATTTCTGAACTAAAACGTCCCTGTGACCTAATTAAAGATGAGACTATATGGCATATCTTTTTAACACTCTTTAACACATACTAGAACATCAGGGTTTTAATAAAGAGTCTTGAAAACCAGGACATTCTCAGTTAAGGTCCCAGCATCAACCATAACTCTGCCCCTACCCATGCTGAAAGAACAGCCAGCTACAGGAATACACCATATTAAAGATAGAAACTAAAAATGCCTGAGCGCCAAAAATAGCCCCAACACTTCATTTAATTTTAGAGGAGGTCAGACTAGACAATCACAGTGGTCCCTTCTGGCCTTGAAATCGATGAACTAATATCTTCAAAGGGGAAAAAACAGTAAAACAGGGCATTTGTCCCCAAAAAATGAGGGTGGGGAGAATGAATCTATGGAAATTGCTAATACAGCTAAAAGCCTGCCTTAAGCAGCATATTAATGCTGATTTATATTCTGTACAAGTGCAGTGATTTTGTAAATCTTGGAACATCAAATGTGTTCTGCAATGTAACTCCCAGTTGCCCTCCTTATCACAAAGGTGTGACCTTCAAGCATATAGACGTGCCATCATGCACTGCTCCATCGTGATTCAAACTGCCTGCCAGAGAAGGATACCACCTACTTCTGGAAGGCCTCTTGGATCAAGGTGGACCACTGCATGATGGGATCTGAAGTCACTATCTCTATGGGCCATGCATTACAGCTATACTGTGCTGCTCTGTTTTATCTATGTAAATTGGGCACAGACTTCCAGCTCTGAGAAAGATGGTGGTGCAGCCCTCAGCTAGGCGGGGCCTGGGCACCCACTACCATGAATGGTATAAAAAATGGACTGCAAATGGGTAGTTATCCCTAAGTTATCTGAACAATCTGAGAGATGGAGAACTTTAAGATACAGTCACCCGCCTCTCCCACTGAAACATCCCAAGTTCCCCGGCAGAAGCTAAAGAGGGGATTTTAAGTGCCATTAAGTTTTCCCAAGTATGAATGACTAGCTTAAATGCTTATGGGGTCTCTGTTGTAGATGTAATTGGCTGCCGTTTCCAGAGCAGTAAAGCCCAAACCAATCTTTGATTAAGCTGTTTTGATGTTATGCCTAAAGCCCAGTCTTTTCAGGCTGAGGAGTTTCTGAAAGTGATGGAGCAGTTACTCCTTTATGACTGACTGCAGAGGAGCAGGAGACATAGATGAGGACCTGAAGGTATCATGCTCTCACCTGAGCAACAACAGGAAAGGCTTTTAGGAGAGGACAATGCAGGAGAAATGAATGTGAGAGAAGCAGCAGCAGGCCTGTCACAGAACTAAAGCTAGGGAGTTTGCTCTAGGGAGCACACCACTTTCTACAGCTGCTGGTATTTCTGAACCCAGCAAGAGGCACCATATAGGTAATGTAACTACTGCTGGATGTTGGGAAGTTGTCACATACCTACTCCTCTCCCAGCCACTCCCTAAAGGATAGTTGGAAAGGAATGGCCCCAGTATCTCCCAGTAGTTATAGCTAATCGCAGTATCTCCCAGGAGGGGACCCAGCAGGAACTGTTGAAGGAGCAGTTACTGTGTGGATCACACAGCTGCTCATGCCTTTTCACAAAAGAATAACTGAAGAGAATGAGATAGGTGCTGTGGCCATCAGGGAGCTCACCATCACTGTGGTCCCAGCGTCTCCCTGCAGGAGTCACTGTAGGGAGTGTGCACAAGTGGCCATGGAGAAGTATAGAGCTAATGCAATCCCAGTCTCTCCCAGCATGAGTACCATAGGCAATGGGGTAGTAGTGCTGGCTGAGGGGAGTTTACAGCTACTCCTATCACAGCTGTTTCTCGCTGGCATTTCTGTGAATAATAATGAAAGACATATCATGGCTCTTTCTGATTCTGTATGTATTTTTCATCATGTCCACAGACCTCTAGCATTATTTATCTCTTGGCCCCTGTTTTCTTGAGGCAATGTGCCCTGCTCATTCAGCTCTCTTGATAGCATAATGGAAAGGAAAAAACCCAAGAAGGAATCAGTTCCATAAGCACTAATTGTGAGCACAGGCTCACCCTGGCATTGGGAATTTACTTGTATAATCCAGTGCTGGAGCTACTTCTTGCATTAGAGTAAGGATTCAGTAATCAAGAGGCTATTCTCTGGGCTGGGGAACTACATTTAGTCCAGGATCTGGGTCCTCCTCCGAGTACTATTCCATGCTCTGTAAACAGTATTTGAAGGTGGTAGAAAAACAAGAGGTTTCATAACTAAACACAGCCCTGGCACTGGGAATGCTTGGCCTTTGCAGCGAATCTGTACGTCGCCCTTCTGTGAGCAGCGCTATCTCTTTAGTTAGCCTCTGTGAGGGCAGGGCAGTCTCTGTCATTTATGCCCAGTGGTGGGGACAGTGCAGTCTTTTAGCTGACACCACTTAGTAGGAGCAATACTGTCTCAAGCCCATGTCTTTAGGCTTGCAATGTTTTTCTGGAGGAGAGGCACAGATCTCTCAGGTTTTATCAGTGTAAGGCAAACAGCCCATCAGCATCTAACCTACTCCAGGCATAGAGAGGGAATGAGAAGTAAAGAATTTGCTAATAATCAGAAAGAGATTGGGAATGATTAGGGCTGCTGATAAGGAACACATCCACTGTGGTCCTTGCATCTCCGTGCAGAGTATTAACCTGCTGCTCTGAAATAAGACTCCCAAATGGACCTTGAGTGTTTGTAATGGCCAAGTCCCATAAACTGATTCAAGATTAGTTACTCTGAACAGGCAGGCAGCTTAAAGAGATGTTCTTGAGGCTTGGGAAACAGGGGGTTCTGGTGTTTGTGTTTCTAATTTTTAAAAAGCTCCAGTCACTCTGCTGAGCTTTTTGTGATGGTGCTTCCAGGGTTTTCTCTTTAGAACTCAGAGTCCAGTCTGAAATTTGTACACACATTTGTGCCCCCTGCCCACAACACACCCATAATCTGCCTGGGCAGACATGGCATGAAATACAAGGGAACAATTTAATTGCTAGTGCAGTCAGGGACATAAACTAGTTCTTTAGCCCTTTACACCAGTAGATCTCAAAGTGCTTTACAAAGGAGATCAGTATCATGGTCTCCATTTTACAGATGGGGCAACTGAGGCCCAGAGAGGTGAAGTGACTGGCTCAAGGTTATCCAGCAGGATAAAAGCAGAGCAGGGAATTGAACCTAGGTGTCCTGAATCCTAGTCCATGCTCCCACCACTAGGCCACATTGTCTTCTATAAAGAGACTAGTAGTAACTTCAGTGGACTTTTTCCCACTTATGCCACCAATGATATTAGCCATGATCAGTAGCCCAATAGGTGTCTTTAGCTAGAGAAATCCAGAACTGAGATGGGCTTGAGTCAGATCCCCAAATGCAAACACCCCCAAGCTTTGTGGCAGTTCAGATCCAGGTAGAAACTCAGAGATGTATCATTGGCTCTATAATGGGCGAAACTGAAGGCCTGAATGCGAACATGCACATATTCATGAACTTTGGGAAAATGGGACTCTGGAAACAAACTTTCCAGCTCTAACCTGTCTCTAA